GGTGAACCCATATGTAGTTACACTAACCGTGTCAAGTTGTGAGAAGAACTGCCGCAGAAATACTCAGCCGATGTCTGTTTTTCCATGACAAACCCCCCCAACATGCTCTATATTTTGCACCTTAATAACCATTTAAGAACATGTAAATTATTTAACCTTAACACAAGCGCAATATTTGGCCATTCAGCAATTACTGCTGTAAAAATGAGTGGTTTTACAGACTAATGATTTTAAAAGAATTACATATCCTACCTCTAATCAGCTTACCTGAATCCAAACAGCTCACTGAATGGCACAGTTTCAGATATACGGCCCCTACAAGAAAAAACAAGGAAAATCAAAATTATGCTCTTAGACAAAGACGACAAAATTTGGTCAAAATTCAACTAAAAGCTCTACAATGTTCATAGCCATAAAACGTGGAAAACGCACACTCATAAATCCTCTAGATTTTCATGTGGCAACATCAACAGGCTGCTTTTTTTTTATTTTTGTCCAAAACATGGGCAGATTTGATTTATTTTGTGCATAATAGCAGATAGGAAACGTTAGCATGCACAACGCTGCATATAAAAGCGTGTCAGACAGAAATAATCAGATGACAGGTTTCTTTCCTTCCAGTCTTCCTTGACTGTCTTGCTCTGCTAATTAGCTGACAAGCTTTACAAATAAAGCTTACACCGTTTCTCTCATCGATCTGACTGTTTAGGCCAGGCGCAAAAGAAAATGACTAATGAGTCATTTTTCCGTTTGTGAGATGGCAAATAGTTTCCAGATGTTTTTGTGTTTGTGTGTGTGTGTGGGTGGGTATGTGTGTGTGTGTGTGTCAATATGGGATGAGACTCTCCATATAACCATAATGCTTTGATTCTTAAACATTAAGAACAGCCATGTTTAGCATTTTGACCAACAAATCCGATCCACATTTTGTGATGAAAATGGGAGATTGCTGCATTTTTCGACATTTTTTTCAGTTCGTTTTTTTGTGTTTCTTCAAAACAGTAGCGAATAACAGAATTATGTCCCCAGACAACAACATCGAATGCAAGTACATTTAAATTTGGGCTCAGAGCGGATTCACTATTTCAGTGGCAGTTGTCATTAAGCTTACAACAAATACCACCACTCAAGAGGAGCTACAATTAAATGTCAGCTTCAATCTGACATTGGCCAGTGACAGAGGTTCTTCCTATTGCACAGACTAAAATAGATCCTATTAAATCTTGGCTTGAGAAGTTATTGTGTACGGCTCCTTTAATCTAAAAAGGTTCACTCTGACAGAATTTCTGGGTAATTGGTAGGCTCTTCAGTAAAGGCATTGTTAATGTTTCTGGTAAGAAATGAGCAGATTAGGAGATGTTAAACATGTTGAAATTAGCTTTTGGATGGGATACATATTAAACAAAAAAGATTACAAAAAAAAAAAACATGAGTATTATGTAGATTTTCTCTTTTAAACAGGATTACCTGATCTCTCCTTTCCATTGGCCGTGAGTGTTAAGCTGAGGTGAACAGGTGGAGCCGCCATTCTTCCACTGCACTGCTCTGTTCCACAGCTCCGCTCTTCCTGCTGGGAGCCGCATAGCTCACGCCTTCGCTTTCCAAGTTCCTGCTTTGTGGCCAGGACCGAGTCGCTTTGTATCTCAGCAGGGAGGAAACGGGACAGCGTGCCGAAAGAGTATGGAAGGACATGAAAGCTTAATCTTTGACCTTCTGAGCCACCAATAGCTATTCACCCTTTACTGCATCACAGTACGCCTACATATTATGTCAGTGAGTTAATTTTTTTTGTCAATTTTCATTCAACTTTATGGATATTTGTCACAGGACTTAAGTAATCCACTTTAAAATGAACCTAGAATAAGTCTAAATCACATATCCAGATACAACTTATAATAAGAGCAGCATAGAAAAATGTCTCTGACAATTCTAAGTATTGTAAAATATATTTACAGAAATTGTGAGAAATGACATGGTCAGATTCAAAGTAAAAAAAAAAATTATATATAATATATACAGATATATTTATAGAATATAAAAGTCAGGCGGTGACCTGGCATTTTAACAGAAGCCAATGATATTAAACCCACTAAAAAAATACTTTCAGACAGCATTTTCTGTCCATGTTATTGAAGAACCTGATTTAAGTCCAACTCATTGTTTGATTTGGCTGACCTAGTACAAATGCTACTGAGATCTGTGATTTGTATGCGGAGGTAATTGGGCAAATACCTAATTGAGTGTCATGAGAAAATGGAGCAGGTGTTCACCCTGTCAATTTTCATCTGTTTATCAATTAAACAAAAAGACCTTTCTGTTTTTTTTTTCCTTTTGATATTTGAGAGAAAAAATAATAATAAATCGGTGAATTGTGATAAAAATGTTGCCCAGTATGATAGCATTTTATTTCAAATACCAATAGTTATGATTTCTGTCATTCACATGACAAATTGCACGTGTTATTTGTGAGGCTAAATGCAGGAGCTTCCAAAGAATACAAATAGCTTAAAGGGTTTTTTTCTGTCTTATGGCCATAAAGCAGTTATGGAGTTAGGAATTGATCGATTTGTTTCCCCTAAAGATCCCTGAAGTTGAGTGGGATTGGTGACAAAGCCTCGGTTCTGTTAATATGGGCCCCCGATGACCTGGCGGTATTTGAAATGCCCCTGTGGTCCACTGATCAGAACACTTGGCGTTATAACCCTGTGCACCATTGAAGGGGTTAAGACTTGGTTTGTCTTCGAGGGCCAAGCCTCTACATACTGAGGGATCTGCAGTTCTCTTTGCAAGGATCACGGACCTGCAACCTGTCAACCTCTGTTGAATTCATGTCTCACCGGCCAGTGGAAAATATCAATCAATCATTACCTGAGGCCAGCCACTCAATGGCAGAACATTCTGCAAACATTTTATCACTCTTGACAAACATGGCTATCCTTAAAAACAAGAAGACAGTTTAACAGAAATAACACAGTGTGATTTACTGTAAATGACAGGGGTCTAGCTGTCCATCCATTCAACTTTTTACAACTCAGTTCAGATATTTATGGGGACTCCAAATATATAAGATTTATCTTAGCATGCAGAGGTTAGAAATACTGGACCCTCCTGAAGGACAGTGATTCTACATGAGGATAATCTAATTAAATAATAATAAAGTAACTCTTTGGTCTCGTGATAATTACAATTAATTGCTCTCTAGTTGGATATTTGGTTATTGTTAAAATAATGGATAAATAAAGCACATTTAGCTGATATTCTTGACAGTTAATTTGAGAATGTTTTGTCATGATGCAAGTTTAAATGGTTGAAAATAGGAAATATCGATGTGATCTGATAGGACAATGATTAAGTTCTACAACCGTCTTTTTTTTTAAATCAAATATTTCACATAAAATGATACACAAATACAAAGCAATACTTTAGATTGACTTGAGTAAACATTTATCCTATCTCACATCAGTAGAATAAGGCATTAACAGTCATATAATTGATGCTTCTGCTCTATCCTTAGTGTTCCCAAGTCACATTTTTTGTGACTGAACAAAGCTATGATCAAAATCTGCAACTCTGAAACTGAGTTAGTAGATTTAAGCTTCAATTAGATAGTTTTAATCCTCTTGATTAAATGATTATCACTGATTGTCCGTTGATTATTAATGATTATTGATCTAAATGTACAATAATTCCAACACAGAGTAAAGTCTACATTTATTTGAGCAGAAATGTCTTACTAAAGGATGGTCAATCCATATTTTGTAATAGGATTATAATAGAACTCTCTGTGATACTTAAAACCTGTTAAGCTCACACTTCAGAGTGGAGGGATGGGTAGAGAGGGGGTACGATCGTGTGAAACGATCCGGAATGAGATTTAACTGTCCTAATTACATCTATCAACAATAGGGGCTCGCACATCAATACCAATGTGTTTCCTGTTAGCCGAACACAGTTCATAAGAGCCCGGCAATTAATTTAAAACATTTGAGAGAGGGGGGGAATGCTCCCGGGCTTTGTGTGCCCTTGGTTGACGGGTTGCAGCCCCAAAAGACACTCTGCATTCTTTCATTTATTCATTCATTTCATTCATTCGGGTATTTAATATTAGAAACCATACATGGAGGCATATCTGCTGTCTGGTGCTGGTGAGTCTTAGTGAATTGTGGTGTGGAGCAAGGGGTGAGAGGGAGTAAAGTGTATGAAGTGGCAAGGGGAAACAGAGCTTTAATATCACCTGCAGCTGACCTTTAATTATGCACACAATCTATAAAGAACATTTACATGCGTCTCAAATACTTGCAAGAATTTTCGACGACTAAAAGTTCACACAATCAAGTCGATTATGTCTTTTTCTTCCTCTGGTTGTTTCAAAGCAAGATCACAACATTTTGTGTCCCCGCTCTTAAAAATGGTTACAATTAGGAAAAAATTGTGTTTTTATTTTCTTATTCTAACATGTTACTAAGTGTGCTAGAGTGTGAATTTGAGCGAGGAGCTGAGCGCCAGCATCAGAAAGATACTCTAATTCTGTTCCATTTCTGAGAGTCTCGTATGGTGGAAAACTCGGTGGAAGTCATCTCTTGCATTTTGTGCATCTGCGCCGTTGGTTCATTACAATGGAAACTGTTGTGTGACATTCACAACATGCCAGGGGTCAGCGGCGTCGGTCCAGAGCAAACCGGCGTGTCAGTCAAGGGGACGAACTTGGAAACAATCTTAAGTATTATTTATGAGACTGGCAACTGCCACCACAATGAACTATGACATCACCTAAGCTTAGACCATTAAGCATTTATTTGCAGTAATGTGGCACCTCACACATCAAGCTGTCCGCTGAGTATTCCCCTGCTCCCACACAAACAACCTGCGGCTAATTACGCGATGGGCCAGTTACACAAGCGGGACTGGGACTGGGACTGGGCGCTCGGTTTTTTTCGGGCTAGCTCTCGACTTAACTCCACGAAAACAACAGCTGCCGTGCCCTTGAGCAAACGGCAAAGCTGTGCTACGACTCGAGCAGCTCACCAAAAAGCAGCCCGTTTCATGCTAACGCTCTGTGGGTTCCCCACCAAACCGTCAAGGTACGATGAGCTCACCCTCTGGGTACAGTATAGTTCACGTCTAATTATAGCCCGCGTGGCTTTGATCTCCAGATAAGAGTTGGCAAAAGCTTTGAAACAGTGTTTTGTTTCCATATCTCCCCCACAAAGTGACATCAGTTTGAGATAGAAACGCCTCTCCTTCCCAAACCAGAGGAAGAAAATGAAATTCTGCAAGGCTGAGAGAGGAAGATCGTAAACAGGTGGTTTGCAGAAACACTTCAGGTCACGACGACTACCAACGTGCCAAAGCCTGGCACCGCCATTTGCATTAAAGAAGCAGGCTCTTAAAACTTGGTAACTTCTTTTGCTTTCACATAACATTGCTATTGTGAGTGTGATTAACTGGGCAAACCATGAAAAACTATTGGAACTACAAGCTAAAGACTAACAACCTTCTGCTTTACAACCTCTCTAGTACAACGTGTAAGAACATTCAATCTATACAAAATATAAATATAACAGTGGGATATCTTAAAACTTGTCTCTCACCACACCTCCAGTGTTTTCTGGATTTAGTTTCTGCTCCTTTGAAAAGGTCACCTGGTGCACGCCGGTGTCTAAAAACGCACCGCCGGTTTTCTGTAATCCAGACTAAGTTGCTCAATTAAAACAACAAGCCTTGACAACCAAACCTGGCACACGGTGGTTGCTGCCGAGGCGCCGCTCGCCACGTGCCTCCAATATCAAACACAAATCCCAGTTAACAACCTGCCATGTTTATTTGTGTAAGGGCGGAAGCCTGCGTTCGGCACAATAAAACGCCACCGGTTAGAGTGACACCACGGTGAGCTATTGTCATCCGTTTGGCTTGAAAAGTACTCAGCAGCCATCTATCACGTTGTATGTTGATGAAACGTGGTATTGCGTGGACAAAGTTAGCGTTCTGACACCCAGTTAAGTTCAGGTTGAACTCTGGTCAGTCTTTGTGTTTTTTTTGTCTTGTTTTATCATTATCTATTCATTTATTTTGTTTAAGAGAACACAAATATTGAAATTATTGCTTGGCACATTTTTTCCTGAAGGCATATAAATGTTTTTTTGTTGTTTTTTTCCCAATGAACTTATTTGTTCTCTCAATATTTTTTTCTGTAAAGCACTTTGGTCCACTGTGGTTGTTTTAAAGTAAAACAAATATTGGATTTTATTAGATTTTTTTTGTTAAAGGCCTCAATTCTGTACTGTTCACACCTAAGTGTGTTCAGGCCATGCCTTCATTGTTTGAGTAAATATCAGAGGAGGCCGTGAAGACAGAAATTGTGAATATGTATACCTTTAATCCCCCTTATCCTGCTGTTAGGTCAGGGTGTGTCCCCTGGACTTGTGTAATAGTCTGCAATGAGAAGCTTGAGTAAACACAATCAATGGATGATACTAGCATGTGCACCGGGGAGACTTCTGGAGCCTCCACACTTTGATTTCTCCCTCCAGGTGTTCAGCGCTTTTTTTGCAGGTTTGTTGGCTAATTAGAGCCGCAGCCGAAGACGCCGGCGTGCGATTAGAATGAAGTCATCGGTAAAGTCGCATCGCGAGGCTGCCGGTCGTCCGAGAAAGCCTCGTTTTGTAAGAGGGGTGCCCTCTGTCCCCGTCTGCCTCGCTCGCCGTGCACGGTATTCCTGCACGCTCTCCTACTTCTGGATTACAATCTCTTCATCCATTATTAATGAAGTTAACTACTAGTGGCATGCTGAATGTGCTGCATGGGAGATTTGTAGCTAATCCAGCGCAAAACAGCCCCAGTCACATAATGAAGGGAAAAAAAGAACAAATGTCAACAGTTTCACACTGGGACTGGATTAGACACCCCCACCCTCCTCATTCACACACAGACTCAGTCCCCCTTCCTTTTCTCCTCCTTGCCACTTACACAGAAACCCCTACACACACTGTGACTGAGACGCAAATCCTGTATCTTCCATGAAGGTTTTGAGCCCACTCACACACTCTCACACACACACACAACTCCCCTCATCACCTTTTCTGGAATGTTTCCTCACAATGAATTAGTGAACCTGTAAGTACCGACTTGTAGAAAAAGGCCAAAGACTGGTCAAAGTCTAGATGGAAAATGGTCCACGTAAAAAAAAGAAAGAAAAGTCATCCAGAGATTAACACTGGCGATTGTTTTTGCTCTTAAAATCTGCCACACTTCCACTCTATGATGTTTGCAATGCGGCGGTGGCATAAACAGCGCGAGTGGATGTGGATGTTGACCCGGTGGCGTGTTTAAGGCCGCCGTGCGCTGCGATTGGAGGGTCCTGAGCAGTGCAGCCAGGCGATGTGGCTCCATGAAAAGGACAGACAACCATGAAACACTGGAACTAATCAGAACACATGACATGGGACTAGCATCCTGATTTCAGATTAGCTATGTCATGCCCACTCCCCCTCCTCCACCCCCCACCCCCCTCCATCCCCCTATTCATTTCCCTTCATCTTTATACCTTTTGTTTGCCACTTAGAGATGTTCCTTCATCCTGTCAGGTCATCTGTGCTTGCCTCTTCCCTTAAACGAATTCACGCCCGTCTCTATTTTATGCCTTTTTCTGTCATCTGTCTGAATTTTGTTTTAATACAATCAATAACCATCGAGGCCTATTCAGTGCAGATAATTTATCAGAAGATCCTTCACACGAGGCGGTAAGCCACACGTTTGTAAGCAGGGCACAGACTTTTTGCAGAAAACTCAATTTTCGAGCAAAACTAATGCGTTTAAACAGTTGGATTTTTTGTCAAAAAACATGTATAATCATTAAAACAACTCAATGAAATATTCTCCTAGTGCCACTGGAAACATGGTTCCCCTCACAGTTAGAAGGACAAAAGAAAATGGAGAACCATTCCACCAGAGAACCATTGAGAACCATTTTTTTTGGAGTTGGATAAACCTGATTTGTGCATCCAGGTGCCGTGTTCCCATCAAAGCTTACTGAAACAGACTAAAAGCCAGTAAACATGCCACAGGACTGATGCAGACTAAAGACTTTCCCATAGCGCCCAAACACCAGATGTTAGTGGGTATTAGTTAGCTTTTTCACAAGTGTGCGCGGCATGTGTACTCAGCTATTTTGGTATGTGCTTTAACCAGAGATTCACCGACTGTGAACCTCCCGGGCACATGCCAGTGCTAGAGATTAGAAAAATGCAGACATTTTTCAGAACAGGTGACCGTCACCAGCTGATGTTATCCTGTTTGCTAACAGGCCGGATTCAGTGAAAATGTAACCACTCATCCCACCGAAAAATAAACGTTAAAATAGACTGCAGTATTGATCCTGTATGGGAATGGCTTCAAGAGGCCTCCAGTCTACCATCTAATTCTAAGAAGAAAAACTAGTATAGGCCTTGGGTTTAACTCTTTTTAAATGTAGGAATTAAGAGGTTTGAAAAGAGTTTCTAAATGACCATTTAAAAAACTGCTTTTCATAAAATAAGATGCACAGAAAAATATGACTTTACTTCCCAGATATATTTTTTCTCTGTGTGGACATCTTATTATTTAACCTGCATTAAAAAGTTGTGGGACTGCCTTTCCCTTTTCACCACGTGTCAAATAAAATATCTCCATTGCTCTATTTCACACCGATGTTTTTATTTTCACATTAGAATTTTAAGGGTCTGTTTGACACGTTTCATCCATCTTCTACAGCTACTGCTTTCTTCCCCAAGTGTTGTTCTCATCCTCCTCACCTCCCTCTGCTTATGCCATCCCTTTCTGCCAGAGCAGACCAATTAGAAACGAGCTGAATCCGGTTCTGACCTCTGGGTCCCGCTCAGGTCTGCTGACCGTGTTTCCAGGCTGTTTTACATGTTATCGACAGGGTGGGAGGCATCATAGTCATTTTATCACACCAATTTCATTCTTGGACGATTTCCCCTTAGGCAGGTTAGTGGCAGCTTCCCATTGATTTTTCCTGTAATTGATCAGAGACCTGCTGGAGCAATTTATTGGCCCACTCGCACCTGTGATTAAGGCTGAGGCCACATGTGTTTATGCATGCGCCCACTACCGCTTTTTTTTTTTTCCTAAGATCAACCACAGCGCGGCTCTCCTCTCTGTCTCCTGACCGTCGGCGTAATGGATGCCGTCCTCGTCCCGGGGACCTTTTTTCTTTTTTTTTTAATTCGGCTTGACCAAAAACCATGTCGTGTCCAAAGTCAAAGAAGAAAAAAAAAAGACGGCCTCGTCTGACTGAGCAGCAACGACAGGAGCTAATGTGTTCACATGAAAACACGGGGCAGAGTTTAATTCAAAGTAATCCTTATTCATTTGAAGCAGCTTCATGCATGGGATTAATATTAGACTAGTCGGAGGAGGGGGGGGGGGGGGGCAAAACCACAATGACATCAGCCTTGGGAGCTGAGGATAGGATAATTACAGAAGAAGACAAAGACGAAGAGCTGAGTGCTTTTTAAATATATAGAGCATGTTAGCTGGGCATGTCGGGAGGAGTGAGGGGTAGCATGTAAGTCATTTACAGGCCTGGCCTATTACGCTGGAAACCACAAGCCATGTTGCTGAGTTGGAGTGCTTAGCGTTGGTGTAGCTCATCTCCCTTTGGTACTGTGACAGAGCCGGAATAGTAAGGATCAGGCACAAAGCCGCTCAACAAGCTCAAGAGCTATCAAAGATCCACCCTTTTAATTTGGTTAATTTACAGGCAGCTTTTTCGCTAATAACATTCTTGGAGTGATACTTGACAAATGGAAATACACACAGGGTGTTTTCTGACTGGGAGCAGAAAGTCGCAGCTCGTGTTTTGTCTCATTTTCCTAACTATTCTCACCCTTTCGGACCTCCCCGTTTTTTCACAATTACACCCCCCCCTTTTCCCCCACTTGGACACTATTCTCAATAAAACTACAGTTCTAGCGATTACCTAAATTCCAACATATTAGCAGCGCATAAACGGATTTGTTTAAAGATTTGTGGGTTTGGAAACATCAATTTCACTTACAGTTTTATTGCACGGCCGCAGCGTGTTGGCCAGACAGAGCACAAGGCGACAATCACAGATGGTTTGAGGCTACATCAGGGGAGAAA